ACCCACCAACATTAATTCGAAAGGTGTAGATTCAAAAATACACAATGAAGAATGAATAGGAAGACAAAATAGCCATAAAAGAATATTCATTCATTTGATGCGGTCAAAAGAGAGCTGAGTATCACTTCCATGAAGAAAGTCGAGAGATTTATTATGCTTGTAAATTTATTTATATTTTCTTCACTTGCTGACAAATTCTGTTTTACTAAGAGGAACTATAAAAAACCATTTACATTTTTGAGGAATCTTTAAGGTCATCCAAGAACGAGAAAGACGAAAATCTTCCCAGAAAAATGTGTTCTCCACTGTGGCCATAAAAAAAGTGAATTGCATTGCTTTGGAGTGACTGTAAAATGAGTAAATGTGTGGTGATGAAATTGCAATTACTTCTGGTTTCTGCCTAAGTCATAAATTGATTCTCCTTTGCTTTATGCTCATCTCTCTCTTCTTTCATATCTTCTAAGAACGTGTTAAAGTGTTGCAGAAAGAAAATTTCGTAGAAGATGTTATCACTATGGGTGGTTGGATATATGTACTTATATGCTCTTCAATTTCCATCTCATTGTATGTTAAGCATTACTGTGTTTTTTTTGCGGCAATGAGAGGTGAGCTGTAAAAAGTAATTGCAGAATGGAAATAAAAAATTATTGTAATTGAAAAGAATTTCTTTCATTGCCAACCTTACTTGAAGATTTATGAGGATTTGGGCATGCAGAATGTAAAAAGAGGTCTTGTAAAATTTTAATAAAATATTTTTACTTATAACAATTTCAATTTATGATGAAAATTCATTACAAAGTGCTTTAAATTGCCAAAAATAAAATGTAAAACTTAATTGAGGTCCATATTAGGGGCCGTTCATTTATGACGTCCGGGGGGGGGGGGATCAGGAAGAAAAACGTGGTAAAATAACAATAGAAATTCCTTGAATTCCTACGTCCTTTTTTGGAAAATGACCGTTAATATTGGACATCATAAATGAACGATCCCTTATTGATGTAAAAGAAAGTAAAATCGATTATTGTGTTTAATTAACCAGCATCTAGTTGAATTTCTCTTTGAGGTCGTTCATTAATGTTGTCTTCATTTTGGGAAGGTTAGGGGGTCTGGCACAAAGACTCAAATGAGAGCGTATCGCTAGAAACTCACCACCGATTTGAAGATTTTAAATAATTCTAAAATCCCTAGAAAATTTTAATTAATAAATCTCCAAAAACTCTTTCTGCTAATTTTTAAAGCAACATGAGACTGCTCATTAAAAATTTCAGCAATCAAAAAACCATTAAAATCATTCACCACGTGTTTTCTTTTTCAGTATTTAAACAATAATTTAATAGCAACAAAAAAATATATTTTTTTCTATAGAAAAACCAATAAGCTGTAACCACAGAAACGCAAATAATGCAAATTTTGTATACAAATTTATATAATTAATCTCGTCTGCTTTATGTGAGTTGTAATGTTATTATTTTTTAACGGAGGGCATTGAGAGAATTTTCTAGTGCATTTTCTGACAGTCTGTTTGCTTTTGGTGAGTAGTAACACTTGGTAACATTCAGTAACTTCATTTGTGTCATTTGTGGATGCTTGTAAATTTTGTTTGTATGATACTGGCTTTATATGATCAAAATTAAATGCTACATAAATGATTCTGAGCTTAGAGTTCGTTCATCATAAGTCAAGATACTCCCCACTCCCCCAATAAGTCACAGATTCCATTCGTCTTCATTTAGATAAATGCAATACAATAATGCGCTCTAGAACAATGCATAAAATTCAAAATTCATTCCAGATCAACCATAAATTTGGTTATGAATATGAGCGGTCAATTTTTTTTGGCATGAATTTAAAAATTATTATTTTAAGCGTTTTTCTCTTCATTTATTTTCCACACAAATAAACTCAATAGTTGATTTTTATAACCGGCAAACATCTGCTTAATGAAAAAGATAAACAAATTGTGGTATAAGTTGCAGAAAAATTACCGAAACGAAAGAGATCCAAAAAGGTTTTCATTAGCATCAATTTTTATTTGTACAAAAGAAGTCTTCAACAAACAGTGTGTACAAAAAAATTGAGTACACAAAGCAAAACATTGGCATAAAAAAGATGGAAGGCGAGTTACAAATTATGAAATATGTTTCAAACAATTTACTCGGGCTCATATTACAAAAGCACAAATTAATTTTTTTTCCATCTTCTCGTCTTTCGTTTCTCTCGCTTAATTCTTACTTTTTTTACTGATATTTTGAAGAATTCTGCCCGGCAGCGAAATGATGTCAGGTAAAATTTTTCAGTACAAAACAAACAAGAGAGCAAATAACCACAGAACCAGCAGAAAATAAAATAAGCAATAAGAACCCGCAAAGAATTCATGAATGTTATGGACGGCTTAGTTCCTTTTTTGTTTTGCTACTTTTTTTGATGAAATATCCAGCATTTATTTTGTACTTAACTTTGATGTGAATGAAGCTAGGAATAGGTATATGTTAGGATTATTGTGTCTCTTCTAAAACAGTAGGAAGTAATTATTTCTACAGCAATGAACTTCATTGGGATCAAACATCCTTTGTAGTAGCATAATTTAACCTTGAGGGCATTTTAGTAAAATTTTGTTAAAAGCATTTCTGTCTTACTAGTTTTAGTTATCAGAATTATCATTTGGGGTCGTTCATCAATGATGTATGATTCAAAAGAGTCTGATAAGTGGAGGTCTGAATCTGTTCGATACTTTATTGCATTTTGAATTGTTTGAACTTTCATAGACGAAGGGTTCCGATGCTCTGTAAGACTTACTTCTATTTATATTTTGATTTACATAATAAGTTTGTATCAGAAGGCTTGAAAATCTTAATTTTTGTAATAAACGTCATTTATTAATAACACTTAAGGCTAGTAGCAATTTTTAAAACCAAACAAAAAATTTTTTAATCCAACTAAAAGGTTCAAAAAACATTGTTTCTTAATGCCATGTGTTGAAGTAAAGGAAACGGAACTTTATCTTTTCCGAAAGTAAATCTTCATTGTCTACAAAGTTTTTATCCTCCTCATTCTTTGCCTATTTTTGTGAATTTAGCTAGAAGCTATGCTTTTGAACTGTACTAAAGAAATTCCGTCTTCCTTTGAGAAAATGGATGGTTACGCATTTTGCGTTACACCCTCAGAATTTCTTATAAAAAAATATAATGTAGGAAAGCATTAAGCACATGAATTGAGTTATATGAAATGGAAGAATATTGCTTTCCTCTTATTTTGATTCAATTCTCTTATTTTTAATGCAAACGTGATCTGCTTTGCATAATCAACGTAGTTGTTTATTATTGCTCACGATGATAGAATTATTGCATATTTAAAATTCAAATTACAGTACAAATTTCAGTATCATGGCATGATGTATTTGTTAAAGTGGGAGCATATGCTTGGTAAATGGAAAGAATTATCATATCTGTTATTTTTATGCGATTTCTGGATCTTGCGGGTTGTTAAGAGTTCAATTTAAGAATTAAAATGCTTTTACTGCTTGAAGCTTAAAAGTATCTGAATCTGTGGCGTAGCTAATTCGCTGTTCTCAATCAACAATACTCTTCAAAAACACAGTCTGTATCAATATCCTCTGTAATCCTTTTGTAAAGCAAAATTTTGTTTAGACCTTCTTCATATTTCAGTCAAACTTTTTCCACAAGCTAATACCTTCTTAAAAATACCTCAATTCCTAAAAATCAACCGTTGAAAATCATCATAACCTACAGGATATTAAATAAATAAAAAGAAATGCAAGATGTATCGTTTTCAAATTACCTTTAGGGTCTCTTTTTTGAACATTTTTAAATCCATATAAAGTGAGTCAATAAGGATAATCATGCATGATCATCATCATCATCATCATGTATTTGATTCATTTTAGTAAGCAGTTGAGTCAACAAAATATGAAAGGTTTGGGAAACTTTTTTTTCTGCAAAGCTCACAAACAATCATTATAATGTGCATGAGATATTCAAATATCCATTTATGAATTAGGATTTTTGTGCCAGTTCAGAAATGAGAAATAGCTTAACATAAAAAAATGATAAGGGACGACATGAAGAGAAAGAGGAAAGAAATCAATCAAAAAGTACTATTCTGATGACTCTAATTCTGTTTTTCTATGGAAAGGAACATCATCATTTTGGACGTTACTTAAGAAAAGGATTTATGAAGCATTTTATGTCATGTTTGTTGAAGAATAAGATAAGAGTTTGCATTGAAAGCACTTGTTGATCATTTGAATATTTGAACTTAATTTTAAGACATTTGAAAGTCTAATTACTAATGATTAGGGGGGGGGGACTGTCTAAAACTCCATTTTTGTTGATCTTTGATGGGAAAAGTATAAATTTCATTTAGGACTACACAAAGCTTCAATCCTCGAAAAAATTTAAAAAACTCATCTTTGGAATCATAACGATAACCATCAGCATCATCAAACATAATCTGACATAAAGAATTTTTAAATGTTGCTCCACGAAATTGAATTTCTTCCACATGATTTGAAATCAATTCGACATTATCTGACTCCGAAAATAAGAATAGACAATAAAAGTGAAATGAAAATGACAATTTCCATAATCCGGAATTATTAACCTACGTTTGTCGCATTGAATGTATGTAGAAATTTGTAAAAATCCTCCATGATATATTGCCATGAGGAACCTTGAAACAAAAAGAGCTGAAACAACACAAAAAATGTCGTTGTTGATTTTCTCGTTGCTGATTGAGATTCTTATAAGCGGGTTAATCCTATTTAGCTAATCTCATTATGATGAAACTCATTGAAATCAAACAAAAAAGTATATAGGAGGAACTGCTGAAAAATTCTACTGAAATAAAAGATTAAAGAATTTGAAATATTTTGAATAAAAAAACAGAAACTGAAAGAGTAGGAAGTAGAGGAAGTGAAACAATAAAATTTTAATTTTGAAACAATTTTCAGATTTTTTTCTTTATTTTTTTAAACAAATTTTTTGTCCACATTTTTGTAGATTTTTCTCAATTATTTCATGTCAATAGGCTTACTATTTAATTTTTTATTATAGATTTATTTTTTTACTTTATTAATTCTTTTTTGGTTTCTTTTCTAGTTTCTCATTTTTCTTACTTTGAGATTTTATTTACTTTCTATAGAATCTTCATGTTGGTGTATTCTATAATGGATTTAAATCTGTGTATGCCTATGCTAATGAGGTAAAAATTATACAGAAAATTCTTTTTTTGAAATGAAAACTTTTTTTTTACAATAAATATTTTACAAATTTTTGTTTGCTCAAATTTTTCTTTAAAAAGCTTTCAGCTATTTCTCATTGCTGCTGTTAACATAAATAACAATTTTTTCAACACAAATACAATTTTTTTTGCAATGAAGTGAGAAGAAAATTTCTAGATTTTTGTTGAGCTTAATTAAATTTACATAAAACTTTCGTTTGAAATTTTGTTTTTAATTACTTTTTTACAATGAACAAATTCTAATATCACGTGAGTTGACTCGCTTCATTCATAAATTTTGATTTTTCTTTTTTTCGGTACATGTGAGAAAAGGTTTTGTATGTTGTAAGGTCGGAAACGGATCAAAAACTTTTTTCATTTACCAAAAATTTCATTACTTCTTTACTGTTAAAAATCTTTTGTTTACTTAAGTTTACACATATAAAGCGTCTGTATGAATTATGTAGTAAGTTAAAAATGCATGAAAAAAATAATAATTTTAACATTTTTTTTTCTAAGTGTATTTTCATTCTTTTATGGCATTCAAAAAAAAATTAAATTTAAAATGTGTTATGTGAAATGTTTATCATCACTGGGCTAAATGGACATTAAACTTCATTTTTACTAGTATTACTATTTTTTTTAATAATAGGCTTTTGTTGACCACAAATCAAATTTATAATATAATATGAATTAATGTACACAAAGTGGATTATGAATTTTTTTTAATTCTCTTATTTGTTGGACTAACTTGACTTTTTGAATTTTTATGAAGTAAAAATAAATAAATAAAATTAAAAATGAGAAGGGAAAGAAATCGTTTAAAATTCTTCACACACAAAAATGTGAAAAGTTTTTCAGTCAATTTACACAATAAAAAATATGAAATGTGTGTTTATGGACATTAAGTAGGCATAATTTACCTTTAAATGCTTATGAATTATGAAAGTATCGCGCTGGTTTTTAATGAATTAAAATTGTTTTTTCTTCCATTTATCACATTTTGGTAGTCAAACAAATAATTCTTGGACCTTTCATTATTTCATTGCATTCAGAGAAGACCTACTGCAATGCTAAGGAGTCATTTTTTAAAAGACATCATTTATGCAAGCCCCTTAAAGGGTTTATTGTTTGTAACATTTTAAGGTGATCGTACTCTGCCATAAATATTCAATTTTCTGCTGCTGTTTAAGCATTTTTGTGTGGTTTTTTGTTTTCAACTTTTTTCAAACATTTCCTTTATATTTTTTTATGGATCAATGAAAATTTAATTACACGTGAAATATGTGTGTGCGTTAAAGTGCTGCTTATTTTTTTTTTCTTTTACCAATGACATCCAGTTGAACCAGCACAGCTGATACTTTTATTTGGTTATCACTTTTTATATTTAAAATGTTATGTATTTCATCATCACAAAAAAAAGAGCAGGCATACTGTGTATATTATATTATTTTTTGTGTGATGTGTGGTTGGAAAAAAGAGGAATAAGAACTAGGGAAAAATAGAGTGTGAGGAAACATGCGTTATGATGACGGCGGCAATAATACGCAACTTGTTCGATCAATATTCGAACAACGAGAATAAAAAAAATAAAATTTGAAATGCTTCATAAATTTTTATCGGGAATTTTTTACGGTTGAAAATTTGTTTGGGAAATGAATTTTTTTTGAGGAATAAAAAATGCTCGTTCAGGAATAAAATTTAGTGAATTGAATTTTTGTTAAATTTATAAGAGATTCCGAATTTATTTTGACAATAAATCAAATATGGACAATGACATTACAACTTTTAAAAAATTATTTAAATATCAAGAATCTCTCGAATATTACACATGAGTCAATTGGCTCTTGTTGAACAGCAAAAAAAAGTTGTTGACCATTAAATAACAATAATGTTTTTCAGTCTTTTGAAGCTATACATGATTTTAATGAATCATTATTAAGCCTATAGTTTAACTTTAGTCATTTGACATTAAATTATCAAAAAGTCACGTCTATGTTCGGACTTGGCTCATCGTTATCTTGACACAATTAAAATAACTCAATCATCGAGCTCATCAAAAGTCCATCAAGCTCATCTCAATCATTTTTAACAAATAACATTAACAAACATCATCCTCAATCATTATTATTATTATTGCAATTTCTTTTTCACACAAAAATTTTCTCCTATATGAAATAATTCACAATCATTGTGTTATTATTAAACTTATATTTTTTTTGACTGAGGAAAAAGATTGAAATTTATGCCGCTTTTATGTCTGCCTTTGACTTGCTTTTTATCGCTTCCACATGTTTCACTCACTCTCTATACCGCGTTTTAGTATTATTGTTATTTTTGATGATCCATTCAATCATTTTAAAGCAACGAAAAAGCGGCAGTGTCGATCAAGCTTACTCTAAAGGCCAAAGGCGTAGTAGAGATTTTGTGCGTCCCGAGTTAAATCAAAAAAAACAGACTTACTAGCTAAAATGCTGCTTAGCCAGAGAACTAGCGAGATATAGTGTCCAAACCTTAAACGACATTGTGCACATTCAAAAAAATACAGCAAATGAGAGTTCAACCAACCACATACAGACGAAGTAATAAAAATCAAAAAATCATTTTTTCATGAAGTGAGTCAGAGATGTTTAAAGTTATGGTTTTTTTTTCGTATATACAAATTAATATGTACAATATAAAGAATTAATCTCGTTTTTCTCATTTTTAAAATTTTATATATTTACATCGATCATTCTTGTTGCTTTGAGATCCCAAGTGGCTACAAAATTTTACAATTCCCCCTTTTTCAAAAAATGTGTTTACAGAGAATTTAATTTTCTGCAAATGTCAAGTTTGTATAGGAAAGAATCTCTAATTTTCACATGAACCGGACCTCATTTTAATTAATTTTCTTCTTTATGTACATATTTTATGCATAATTGATAGTTCAAGTTTAAGCATTCTTTTTTTGTTGAAACATAATATTTACCAATTAATCCTCAATAGCAAATAACATACATACATACATTGTGTCTCAATTTCTCTCTCAATCTCTTTATACAAAATGGTCATTATTGGATGAATCACAATGTTGCTGTTGCTCAATTAAGTGACTAGCTTTGCCATGCTTATGCGATAATGTTGGCGTAGAAGCATTTGAGGAGGATGATAGCGGTGGTGTTTCAGGTATGGTTGAATAAACATGACCGAGACATGTTGACGAGCCGCCTATTGATTGCGGTCCACGTGTATTATAATCTGGTTGTTCATAGTCGTATGATGCACCACGTAAATTATTTGGCATTTCATTCTCATTTGTATAAAATTGTTGATGATATTGTTGCTGTTGATGATGATCCTGATATTGATTGATTGGCATTGAATATCCACTGCACACGACAGGTGATAAATTGTACCAATCTGACGGTTGATTATTTGAACCGGTACTATTTACAGCCATCATCATCGGACCCCGTTGCAATGTTGATGTTGGTGCTGGTGTGTATCGATTATCGCCTTGAATATATTTCTTATCGGACGATACATCCGGCAATGCATAACGTAATTTCGTCCAGAATCGTTTCTCTCCCCAACAAATCACTGTGCATGTACGAATGAGAAGCTGCAGCAATGGATCCATTTGAATGATTTGAACTGGCACAGTGAGAATCAGAATAATGTTTTTATTTTTTCGTTGATTCATCAATGACTCGATGAGAGCCTGCATTGCACAACGGAAATTGCTGTCGCACCATTCCGTCTGAAGAAAGTTGAATGACAAAACGATAACAATCTTATGAGATGCATCAGTGCCTGCTTTCAGTGTGTCAATTAAGTAATTTGTTACTTGAAAATTATCTCGTGTCATGATTGGTTTATTATGATGATTGAATGATGAGATGTTATAGCCAAGATTTTGCATCTCGGGGAGTAAAATTTGTGTGAGAAGATCTGTATCATTTATGCTGTATATAAAATATGCATCATAAACTTTTTCAGTGAAATACTCTTCATCATCAATTGCAGTAGTTCCATTATTATAACGAAGATGTTGTGCTGCTAATGTTGTTGCCTTTTTCTTATTACTTCCACTGTTCTTTGTAGTTCCATCTCCACCAAATCTTAATCCGTATTTTGAAAATGCCCATAATTTTACATCTTGCCTGAATATGCAGACTAGCGCAATTAATAATGCTGATGTGATGATAGTGACAAGAACTGCAGCAAATAATGGAATGTATCCGCCACTTCCGATTCCACCACTACCTCCAAATATATTATGTCTATAAATAGGATTTCCATTACCGTTTCCTGCTACAATTGTTGAATGCTCTTGCTGTAATGAGTTTAATGATGATGGTGGTGTTGCAACTTCTCCAAAAATATTTGTGTTTTTCAATAGCTCACAGTTATTCAGCACATCCCCAACAATACGATTATCATTACACAACATTCGTTGCACATTGAAATTATTAGAACGATTTCTGATCCATTCAATCAATTGTACTAAAGACTTACAATCACAATTCCATTTATTATCACCATCGAGATAAACTTGTTGCAACATTCCACTTCTACTTGATGTCGCGAGTTGTGTAATTGGATTGAAGTCAACTAAACGATTATCGCTAAGATCAATACTGCGTAAGAATTTCATATGATTGAATGTATTATCACCAATATGACTGAGACGATTATGATCAAGATAAATTTCATTTAATAGCATAAGTTCCTTAAATTCATTTCCATGAAGACGTTTAAGTTGATTACGATTGAGATGTAAGACTCGTAAACTCTTTAGTTCATCAAATGTTCCATTTGCTATTGTATGAATGTTACTGTCATTCAAATAAAGTACTTCAAGACGGTTTTTGCCAACAAATTGATGGTGCGATAAATGCGTTAAGTTATTTCCGTCGATATACAAAGTTGTAACATCGATTGGTATGCGTTGTGGAAATGATTGAATATTTGCATTACCGCAATCAACAATATTTTTATTCCATGTGTTGTCATGATAACATGAGCATTGATCTGGACATGTCATTTTGCATTTGCATTCTGAACTTGGTGCATCATCATCGTCATCGTCATCATCTTCACTATTTTGATCATTTTGACAGCATTGACATAACGTATGACAATGATTTTCATATTTACAGAGGAAATCATTGGAACTTAATTCATTGAATGGCTTGATTGCAACATCATCATTGGAACTTCTAGACATCATAATCTCATGATTATGTTCCATTGTGCATTTGATCTTATTCATATCTATAAGCTTTGGCAATTGTCGTCTTTGTTCTGATAATTCATTGATATTTCTCAGCCATTCTAAATGACAATCACAATGCAGTGGATTTCCAGCAAGATAAATCTCTGGTGCCTCACGCAAAATATCAAATTTTGACACTATCAATGATGTGATTTGCAATTTCTTAATCATATTTCCATTGAGGAATATTTTACGAATATGCTTCTTATTTAAGAATGTTCCAGATGGAATGTCATCGATAAGATTGTTGCTCAAATTAATTGTGGTGATATTTTTGGGAATGAGATCATTTTTAATTTTTCTAATTTTGTTATTTGATACATCCATATAATTTATCTTCAGTTGACTAGTCACGTCAAAGTAATTGCCCAATTCAGTAATGTTATTATTGTGGATATCCAACCACTCTAATGACGATGGCAAATGACTAAAATCGAACCATTTGATATTATTGTTGGATACATTTAAGAGCACCAAGGATGATAATGATGTAAAAGCACTGGAAATATCTTCTAAAGCGTTGCTGTCGAGACGTATAGCACGCAATTTCTCATTCGTTAGAAATGATGATTGATCGATATGCTTGATTTTATTCGAAGCGAAATTGAGAACATGAATGGACTTTAAAGCAACAAATGCCCCTTTCGTGATGGTTGTAATTTGATTATCAGTTAACCTTAGACCTGCCAACTGTTCAAGTCCATCAAATGAATCACTCTCAATTTCTGTGATTTGATTCTTTCCTAAATCGAGTGCTTGCAAATTTCTCAACTTTCTAATTGAATCTGGTATCCTTTTGAGCTTATTATCATTCAAACTCAAATCGACAACAGCATTTGTGAGATTATCGAATGCATTTGGATGGATATTTGAAATTTCATTTGATTCAAGAATCAATTGATTGAGACTGTGAAGTCCAGCAAAGTGCTTTGACTCGATAATTTTCAATTGATTATTTGACAGGAGCAATTGATGGAGATTCCTCAAATCAATAAATGCATTCTGTGCAATCATTTCAATTTGATTAAATTCTAAGTTCAGTGCTTGCAATTCGTAAAGTTCACGGAACACAAACTGATCAATTTTTGTCATTTTATTATTATTTAACTTTAACACAATCAGCCGACTTAATCCAAGGAATGTATCACGATTAATCCACGATGATGTTAATTCATTAAATGATAAATCAAGCACTTCCAATTGATCTAATTTTTCAAACAATCCTGGTGCAAGAACAGCCAATGAATTATTACCGATATAAAGTCGTTTCAGTTCCTTTGTTTTCTCAAATAATTCCGGTGGTAATGCAATCAATCGATTATTTGTTATATTCAAGAATTGCAACTTGTCAAGTCCTTGAAATGAATTATCATCTAGAATTGTCAATTGATTGCTATCCAAATGCAAGAAATTGAGATTCTTGAGTGCATTGAAGCAATTATTTGGAATACTAATGAGATTATTGTATGATAAATCGAGTTGCTCAACACCACTATTGCATGATGCTTGCGTACTTGCTGCAGATGGTGGACTGCCGGTAAATAAATCATTATCATTTCCACCTGATGGAGTTGCAGCATTTTTCAAACTGAATCCAACTTGTGAGACATCATTCAGATGATTTTTACTCAAATTTAAATATTTGAGTGTAAAGAGTGGACAAAAAATGCCATTCGGCAGTGTCCAAATGTTGTTATCAGCTAAATTAAGTCGTCTTAATTCACTTAATCCACTAAATGTCTCTGAATGTAATTCTAAATTAATTGTCGACCAATCAGCATTATGTGTCTGAAGTGTAAGACTTTTAAGATTTTTTAGTGACTTGAATGTCATCGACGGTACATATTTAATTTTACAAAATTGAATTGTTAGCTCATGCAAATGCTTATTAAAGGCACCATAATCTCCTATTCCATTATTCACATTATTCTCAACAACGAGAGAACTCTCAGCAAATAATACATCACTACATTCTAATTTTAATGCATTCACTATCTGATTTTGACTATTGTAGGTCGTAAGATTCTTTATGAGACCATCCAATCCACTTATCGTTTTCATGCGGCACGATAAATATCGATTATTATCACTTCCGTCAATTGAGTTGTGTTGTGTAGCGGCTGAAGACGATCCTTGTCGCTTCCACATGCACTCAACTTTCTGTTGTTGTTGTTGAACATACGAACTATCTACTAATTTATTGGTACTATTAACATAGCACAGGCAATGCAGTGCGAAATAAATTATTATCCATTTCTTCATTTTTGCTGTGTGTTTACTTTTGTGCCGGGCTTAAAAGTTTCTTTTGTAGAATCTCTTTTTTTTTAGGGTAAAAAGATTTATTCACTAAATTTTCGCATTTGTACAGCTCACAAAATATTTCTCTTTTCTTCTACAACACGAAATTCATTTTTTTTTATTTCTCTTTGTATTATTTTGTATTCACTAAGATTCCAACAACTTATAAATTTAATTTTTTTTTATATTTTTATTTTCTTCTTCTCTTTTCTCTTTCTTTCTTATTTCTTTTCTTTCTACTCATTCACATTGATGATTTTTGTTGTATGTACATTCTTTTTTATTTCAAAAAATATTTTTTTCTACTTTTTCTTCTCATCTTTTCTCTTCTATGTGCATTAAATAAATTTTGTTGTGAATATCTTTCATTTTTTTTTCTTTCTCACTTTATTTAACACAAAAAATTCTTTTTTTTTTGCCTTAATAAATCACAAAAATTATTTGGATACACTCTTTAAAGTATCTTTTATTTTTATTCTTGAAATTTTTCGACCGACCGTTTTTTAAAAATCGTATTACTTGCTTATTCTTCGAATGTCAAAGGAGAACTGAGAGTAAAACCAATGTTGCTATGTATTTTATAGTCATGAGAATGTGTAACATTGTGAGAGTCAAGAGATGTTTTTTATTTTGAGTGTTATGTTTGTGAGAGAATCTTACTTTGTTGTTTTTAATATGTTCTATCAATGTTAGATCAACATTATGATTTTATAGCTTAACATCATCCAACATTATGAAACTTAAATTAAACAATGAATTTTTGAGAGATTTGCATTGAACATTTTAATTTTGTAAGCAAACATTGAGATTTTTTCTCTCAGCATTAAGAATGTCTGTTCAGCATTAGGATTGTTTTTCTGAATGATGTTAAAACACTATTCAATGTTTTTTTTTGATTTCTTATACATTTTTAAAATATTGTGGATTAATTCTTCTATAATTCTAAACAAATTTGCAAATTCAAGTCATTTGATTTTGATTTTTTTTAAATCTTCAAAAATCTATTTTTAAGATTTTTGAAGACAAATTTTGTACATTTTCCATATTTACCATTATTTACTAATTGCTTTTATATCTCCAGGAACTTAATTAGTTCTTTACAGATTGATAAAATACTTACATTTTCAATTGTGATCTTAATTGTTCAAATTCTAGTAAAATACTGAAAATTTTTATGAAACGGGGCAGACAACTTTGTTATAATAAATATTTTTTAAATCTCGAATGATCGTTATATGCAAATATTTATCGTACAAGAGCACAACTCTCACTTTTCCATCGAAACATAAAATTCTATTCAAACTCATTTTAATTTATTACACAAAGTCGGCGATTACGATAAGCTGATTGTTTTATCACTTCTTTTCGTGTGAGTTTTAAAGACGCTTTTAAAGTTTATAATCATAATTTTATTCTCACCAAATGTTTCTGCCGCCAATGACGATGATGAGAATAAAGCTTTGAGAGAATGAGAAATTAAAAATGTAAAGAAGTTTATGATTAATTTTTTTAATGACTTTTTAATTTCTTTCTTCTTGTTTTCCTCTCGTTTTTATTAACTTCTCTTATCATTCATTGTTATTGCTTATTATATGACATTAAGTAGCAGATATGCGACAATTTTAGCGCCATTTGAAGACATTGTGGTGTTACTTTGTCATTTCATTTTACTGTCGTTGTTGATATTATTTAAATTTTTATGGGTCTCATGATATCTTGCGATATGATAAGCATAGTTGTCTATGAAGACAATAAAGAACCCCATAAGATTTTTATCAAGCATCCCCAAGAGAAAAAAATTGTTTGACACAAACATTTGGAACAATGCAATGTCAAAAACTTGTGGTTTAAGAATCGCAAGACATTTATAACAATGACACAAACATTTATATGCTTATAGAACATAAAAGTTGTTTGTGACATATCAGTATCATCTGTATCTAAATCGAATAAATACTTCAAAAATATTGAATTTCCACAATTTCAATGCAAATCATGGCAAACGAATGCGGCAATTTCTATACCTTAAAAATATAAATTTGAAATTTGAGAACGCTTTCCAAAAAAATCCTTATGATCTTGATAAGGCAGACAGAAAAAAACATAACAATTTTTTTGATTCGAAAGAAATTGAAACTTTCTTTTCATGCTCTTAAAAATCAATTGTGCGTCTTTAAAATTTCCTAAACGACAACGACATGTGATTTGTTTTTTTTTGGTTCGTTCCTTTTCAATGTCGATAAACTTGAAAGAAATTGAAACTATTGCTTGCTAAAAATGAAATTGTTGATCATTATCAGTCAAGTAGACAAGCAAACAGTTTCAATGAATGAAAACAGATTGAGCGTTCAAAGGTATCAATTTGCAATTTTACAAAGTACATAGAGGAAGCATAGAAAATGTTTATGATTCTCAAAACTTGATAACAGGAACAAAAATATTTGTTGGTCGACAAAAGAATAGAAGTGGATGTCTTGCAGGCATGGAAAAAGTGATTATTCGTTCATTAAATGAAGCAGAGATGAAACACTTGGACATACTTAAAACTCTACATATAATCCTTTAACTATCTGATTATCCTTATTTATCCCTTCCTATTATCAACCTTTTTTGACATTCCTGCTTGCACTTCATTTAATGTGAAGGATGATAGAAATTTGAGGGAACTTCTCATTTCCTTAAGTAAGTTTTTGTTATTGTCCATTTCCAAAACATCTATCTTCTCTTTTCATCTCATTTTGCTGCTCTTGCCTTCAATTTTTAGACTTCTTTGACTGCCCGCCAATCCAATTTATTGACTTATTTTTTGATGGAAATGAAACAAGAAATTTCTCACTAATTGATTTAAGAATTAAAATGGGCAAGATCAGAAAAAAAGGGAATAAATATTCAAATTCAGATTTCTCTGCTTTTAATAACTTAATTAATATGATTCCTTCACTACATGATAGCTAATAATAGTAAGTTTCTTTTTAACATTCATTTTTCAAAATGGCGACTTATTAAGTTAGTTTAATTAACAAATTAATATTTGAAATCGATTTTTCTTTGAAAAGAAAGCAAGATAAATGATTGGAAGCTTGACAAAAGTTGTAGAGCTTGCTTTTTTCTATCATATGATCAAAATAGATTTTATTAAAAATGAGTTATTTTAGTTAAATTAACTGAAAACCAAATTGAATGTAAAATGTATTTTTAAATCAAAACTATTAACCTTAATCGGTCAAGAACAATTACTTGATATCTAAAGAGTCTTTTACTATTTAATTTACATTCGAAAAAGGCTTAAAAGTAAGTTAAATTAACTATAAAAACAATGAAATTTAAGTTGAGCAACAAATTTTGCTCTTATTTGCTCACAAATTTATAATTTTAAAAACCGTTACAAAATTTTTGGTCAAATTTTTTACTATAATTTAATTTTCTCTGCTTGTCTTGAACAAAAAGTAATATTTCTTTTGCAATATGATAAACATTGTTGAATTCTATAGTTTGAAATGAAAAAATCAGTAGACGAATAACACAGCAATGACTTATGACTAGTTTTGTAAAACTCATCATAACTTGGTTATTTATAGTAGAATTGAAAATTTTCTCTCACAGACTTAAAGAAAATTACATATTTAACCTTTTTTGTAAAGAAAGATAGTTCCTAAACTATTTCCTTCATATCAAAATTTCAGCTTCAACATTTTAAAGCTGAATTAAGCTAACTTACAAATCCGCCATTTTGTATATTTTAGACAAAACTTTTAATGATCTGATTACTTAATTATCTGGTGAAAAAATCGTTATGATTAATGAAGTATTCGCAGAGATATTACATTTGCAACATGGTGTAAAATCGAATTTCCTCAAAATTGTTCGTGACGCTTAGCACTTTAAATTAATTTTTAATTATAATACAATGTCTAAGAGATACTTGTTATACATCAAAATATAGATCTTGGCAAGGACTTTAAGAAAAACACAAGTCTTAAATACATATTTTGCATTATTGATTCAAAAATTGTAAATTATTGTTAAGCGTCACGAACAATTCATTTTTGATCTTGCCCAAATGTTTTTGTATATTTTCTGATTCGGTTCATCCCTCTCACATCATACGTGTCAAGTTAACAACAAGAAATATGACTGATCTGTTAATCATAATGTAGATCATCAAGGTAAAAATAAATGCATACATAATAATAAAGAATCTGATCGATAAATGAGAATTGATTAAGTATTTTCGGTGTTTGTTTGATAAACAAAGTTCTACTTTACATTTTGAATGCTTTACTTATGTAGCATAATTTATATTGATATACATTCATCCAGCATAAACAAAATTTATTTACTTTTCAATTCTTCGCTTTTTCAATTTCAAATAAATTTTGATAAATGACTTTTTACACTAGCTGTTGATTCCTGAATAACTTTTTAACATTTAAAAAAGGGTTTGTTCATAAATTACGGTCTTGTGACAGGATTTTCATGCAGAAATGTTTCTTTGGTATCGAAGAATCACGAATGAAGCGATAAAAAATTAGTCATTATTTATGAACGTCCCCAAAAGAATTTCTGATCTTGAATAAATTGTTTTAAAATCCATCGATTGACCATTTTGCCATAAAACTCACTCAATTCAGCTTCATTGCCATTCAATCTTCAAATCAAATTTTCAAGTCATTTGTTATTTCTCTCATTGAGCTGAAAAAGACGGAGCAATATTTATGGAACTTTAAATAGGCGAGCACATAGCGATTTATGATAGAGCAGTAATAAGAAAACAGATTTCATATTTGGAAGTGCTGATTGACGGTTCCGATAATGACTTTATATACATTCCTTTTTTTTTCATACATCGCCTCTTTTTTAAGAAGCTGAAACATTATCATCACAACAAAAAGTTTTAAAATCTTTAAAAAAATTTCTTTTCAATTTGTGCTATTTTCAACATGCTTTGTCCTACTTTAGAGAATTGCCAAAAAAAATTATACCTAGATATTTAGTCGAAAGTAATGTTTTGAGGGAGAAGAATGACATTTGACCTAATAGACTCATGCAGATTTCTGGGTAGAATGAGCATGCAATAAGCAAAACAAGAAGAAGAAGGAGAAAAAAAATAAGTTAAAGATTCCTAACAACCGATATGAATCCAATTCATTCAACATTTCTTCCCTTCAAGCTGCAAAAATTCTTAGTATAAATCTTGTCCTGCCTGTCTATCTCAGCATGAGACAAGAAATATTTTTTCGGGGAGAAATTCTTTTTTTCATTTAGTGAAAACTTCATGTCGCGTATGTGGGTTAAACAGATAAAAGTACCAAAGCTAGTGAATCAAATTGACTAGAAGCAATTGCATAAGATTTTATCTCAGATCTCCCCAAAAATGGGTGGAAAACATTTTGATTGAATTTAATATTTTTGAGGGGACAAAAAGTTTTATTGAATTTTATTTTTTTCTAGATCATCTTTTAACGAGCAGTATGTATGCATTGGAACTAGCCCGTATATTTTTTGAAATGTATCAATCATTTAATTTATGGTTGTTCAAAAATATAGCATTTGTTACCTTGAGCATACTGGATTGAGGAATGTAGAGTTTGGTTTTGAGTACCATCTAAGGGATCGA